GGCAAGAAGGCAAGTGAAGCTCTCCAGCAGGCCATGAAGTGCATGAGAGAGAGTGAAATGTTCAAAGAGGTGCAGTACTGGGCACCATTCGTACTCATTGGTGATGACGTCAGCCTGGATTTCAAGGAAATTCAGACTTCGAATCATGTAATTACTCTGTTTATAGCATTTATTCAATACCAAGTGACTTAAATCAAAATCATAGTTGTTTTATTTTATTTTGCTTTCAATCGAATTAAGAATTTTTCGTTGCTCGAGTAAACTGAGGTGCAATGCAATCGCTGCAAGACATTTACCATGAGAACCATGATATGAACGAAAAAAAAAGATAGATTTTATTTTGCATAGCCAAGGGAAACATCCTATGGCAACTCAACGATCCTTCTTGAATTTTAACTCCTATTTTTCAGCTGAAGGAGTGAGCATTGGAACTGTATCAGGTCAAGGACCAAGCCCGCGGAAGTCAACGGTGATATTTGGACCAGAAACCAGTAAGCTACCGATGAAATCTTTGTCAAGAGTCTTCTCTTTAAAGCAGGGAGGATCAAAAGATGGCCAAAGTTAACGAGAGTCCCTAACGATCTCTATTGTTTCAAAACTTGACTTTTCGCCTGTCTCAACTGTTCTTACGAACTTGACGGATTTCGGACACTCTAAAGGAAAAGGACTTTCAAGTGTTTTGATCCTTGATATCTTACTCAAACTGATACTCATGTAATTTATATTTCAAGTAAGTTACATTTTTTTAGTCAAACATGGATGAAACTGTTAACTATAGACAAGATTTTGGGCGTCACATTAACGTTTAAGTAGAGACGTCTTTAAGATGATTTCCAAAGATTTTTTGTACAGATTTTTCTCTGGATCGGTTTTTTCCTGATGAAGGATATAAAGCTATTAGAAACATATCCATAGATCTCTTGAGGATAATCAATAGTCTGATTACTCGAATAACTAAGTTTATGTCAAATGGAGAATGTGATAAACATTTTTGTGGATTTTTACTTGGTCATTGCTTATCAAAGTTTTTTCTTTGTATCAGAAACATTGTTTTCCGGGACTAAAATTGACAGATTTTTACTTTTATGGCCAGGATATAATTTTGTTTTTAACAATATTTCAACAGATTTTTCTTACACGTTTGAATGCCATAAATTGTGCTTATTGTTTAAGCATCACGATGCATTTTAGATATGCTGTTAAAAGTAATCGCACAATGGTAAAAGGAGAGGTTACAAAGAGTTTTGTTTCAATCTTTTGTTGTTACGGCCATTTTTACAATTGTTTATCATGCAAAGCATCGATAGAAGCTCAGAATGTGCGAGAAAGCTGAAACCTAGTGATATATTAAGTCACTCCTATTTAGTTGTTTGCCTATTTCGTAAGTACAAAAAAGAAGCATTTGAATGTCAAAAATGAGGCAAGTCATTTGACATTTTGTTGGAAGGGAGAGGTAAGTCAATAACAAAATGGAGAAAATTTCTGGCAACCTTCATGGGTCATATCTGATCACTTTGAATAGCGCGCGCCCTTACGTCCTATTCGTTAACCCTTTCACTCCCAAGATCTCATAAGTAATTCTCTTCTCTGTCTCCCATACAATACCTATTATATTAGTTATATAAGGAGAAATTATGTTTTGGTCACTCATGGAAGTTAAAGGGTTAATGCGTAAACTATAAGCTGTCTGTGACAGAAGACTGAACTTTTTGTTAAACTCGTGGGCCGGCCTATAACGAGGTGACATGCAAGATTGGAATTTAAACAGTTTTTAGAAGGTGGCACTTCCAATTCGAACTTGGAGTGTTGGCTTTTAAGGGTGAACAAAAAAACCAGAGAAAAAAATACGAAGAAAAATAATTGAACTAAGGATAAACTTGGAACAGACCAGTATAAGGAGAACGCTGTCTCTGCGCAATCCAGCTACCTTGAAGCAGAGATGCGAATAAAAATTTGATTTAAGGCGATTTTAAATCTAGCCCGCAGAAGAGGCGTATCTTTTAGCGTTTTGCAGTCGACCCGGGAGGCAAGCGTGCAAGGCGACGCGAAGTGCGAGTCCTTTGCTTTTAAAAGACCGTTAACCAGACACGAAAAGTCAGGAAGCTCTGAGAGGATGACCGGTATGACCAAACCCTGTTAGTTAAAACAGCGACA